CGAAACATTTAGCCAGAGCTCTAACGTGCTTGTGGCTCCAAGCATGTTAATGATAGAATGGCCTATTCAAAGTCCAGATATAAATCTGGTTCAGAATTTGTGACAAGAATTAAAAGTGTATGTCAAATGTTTTTTGTCCAATTTGATGTAACTTAAGCAATGTAACAAAGGAAAAAATATTGGTTGTGCAAAGGTGGTAGAGACACAAAAGACTTAAACTACAATTCATTACAAAAGTTATTGACTCAAATGCATGCCACACTTTTCAGATAATTTGTTTTAAATACATTGGGTTAACTAGCAACTCAACCAGAACTCCAGCCCATTTGATAAGCTGGTTTTGCTGCTGTGTGTCTATTAATGCTTTTCAAAGAAGTTTGCAGATGTTTTTACATGCAAGTTTAAATATTGAGTTGAGGGTCGTGACCTGCAGTAGCCTATTTGGATCTAAAGTGACAGAGGCCCTAAAACAGCTCAAAACCGAGCACACTTACATTTTATTGTCTAAGAACAATAAGGCTCTTAGCAGTGGCGGAGCCAGAGGGGTGGCCGGGGTGGCACTTGCCACCCCTACTGCCACCCCACTGGAAATGGTCAGTTTAAAATATAATTCTTATGAGATCGACAAAGATTTGCCAGGAAAACTGTAAATTCCGACTGTCCCTGAAGGCAGCCCGATGCCTGACGCTGTTCATTGGTTAAACTGACATGTTGGTCCTGCTTGATCCAAAACACATCCGGGGCTTTAGAGTTACACCGTGGAGGAGTTCTGCAGGTATTTACAACATTTTACCGCTCTGAGAGTGGTCATATATTTCTAAAAAAAAAATTTTTAAAAATGGTTGTGCACCGCTGCGTAGTGCCTCGTTTATTATATTAGCCATGCTAGTGCTGGTAGGTCGTGTTTTAGAGAGATTGTTTTAACATATGTTTTAGTGCACATGCTGCCTTGCTTGAAATGTGTGGTAAGAATATGTGAAAAACCATTAAGTTTTATAATGACTGAAATGTAAGTAGGCTATGTCATATGAAAGCTTTGAATTATAACCTAACTAGTTATATTAATTAATTTTGAATGAAAGGAAACAAATATTTTTTTTCTTTTGTTCCATGGAACGGTCCATTTGTATATGGACCCCTGTGATAAAGCCTTGCTCACCCTTTGGCCACCCCTTGAAAAAAAAGTCTAGCTCCGCCACTGGCTCTTTGACCTATCCAAACTTGTTCAAGGAAGTAGGTTGGATCGAAGGTAAAACAATCATCATTTGCATTTTACCTGAGCAAACCCCGTCAGCATTTGTCATCATGTGTCAATAACTGAAAACTTGCTTTTTGACACATGACGTATGGAAAGGGGGAAAAGGCATGAAGAGACACGGTATTCCCGAACCACTGATTCAATAAGCGCTTCGCTGTAAGGCAGCGAGTGTTGACTCAGACTTTGCACAGTCACTTGGAAAGACCTGACTCTCCTCAATTTCAGGAATTTCCTGATCCTCGCAGGGCCCTCGCAGAAAGTCGTCTGCAGACTCGGAGCCATGGGCCCTCCCTCCACTCCCACCCTCAGCTGGCCTGGGAAGTTCCAGGTTAATAACTAAACTGAGGACGCATGCTGGAAGAGTCAGCAGGGCAGGGCAGATGTACTTTTTGGACTGCTTCAGATTGTAGACTCAGCAATGTCCGCTGTTAATCTGAGAGCGGAGACTCTTTCACAAAGCTATCACAGATTAGTTTGGAAAATAATTTTGCCGTCCAATGTGTCACTCACAATGTTTATGTTTACAGCAGAACAATACCCCTAACCACAACTTACATGAGTCATGGCAGCCCTGTCACATCAGACTTTAGTTTCACTCGAAACAAGCGTGGCTTTGAAAGGACTTCCGGCGCTCGGCTACACCTTGATTGTAGTTTTCCTACAGCTTGTTCTAACTTGCTGGTGTGCTTGACGTCAGACCAACACTGTTGGGAGTGTTATTACTCACTAAGTTGCATTCTTGAACAGCACGTACCAGCGCATCCTTCTTTCCCAAACAGGAAGTGCTCGCCAAGACGGTTGCTAAATCATCTGCGCTGCACCCCAGTGCGGTGGAGTTTCCTCAAGCAGACGAAGCAGCCTGTCTCTGGACAAGTTCATCTTCTGTTTTTCTTTCCAAAGTTCACCCACCTGGCCCCGAGCACCGTGTTTTTACATCAGCCTTACATCTGCTTGTATAAAACCCACATTATGGACCAAAAAAATGAAAGTGTTTATCTATGACACCTGTTTCAAGAGCGGCCAGAATAAATATTGGAATATAAAGTCCAGGTTTTAGAGGCAAGGACATTTTTATTTAAATAATAGGGAAAAAAGAAAACGGCATGAATAGTAGAAATGAATGGTAAGTGTGACAAGCAGGCTAACATTTCAGCTCATGCTAAAAAAAATAAATATTCTTATTGCAAGGTTGTTTTACAAACATAGGTACAAAAGACGAAAACAGGAAAGAATCCAAAACAGAACAGATTATTATTTGACAGCAAGAGGTCGTTTGTACGTCTCAATAGAGCCACCGTGTGGCGAATTCAAAGCATTACATCCTGAACTTCAGGAAGAATTTAAAACAATATCGCCCCCTGATGGAGTTAGTAGGTTATAGCCTGTATGGCAGGCCGTTTTAACATAGAATCGGTTTCACAACACTGACGTTCCAAATATCTGAAATCAGCTATGTGAACACATATTTTATGGAATATGTATTAGAGCCACAAAGGGGAAAAAATAATCTGAAGTTTTTTAGAGAATTCTGACTTTTGATCTCAGAAGTTCAAAGTCAGGATAATTTTTGTGGCACTAAGCCTCTTCCAGGAGATATTAGTTAAGTCTAGACATCTCTAATTATACTCTGACTTAGAAAAACACTTATTTGAAGTGTCTGAGTTCTCAAATTTTTCATTGAGCTATACTGAAAGGCATTTGTAATCTGTCAAAATTGTAATCGACTTGCATGAAGAACAATTCAGAATTTAAATTTAATGCTTAAATTACCAATTGGAGTTGTCAAAATGTAGTTGTACCTTGTCAAAACATTTTTTTTTCAACAGCTGAAACGGAGTGACAAAACGAAACCGATTTTATGATAATAAGGCTTGCTATACATGGGACGCCACAGAGAGAAAAGTTCAAGCCAATCAGAACCTGTCACTACAAACCACGTGAGAACGTTCTGGCTGCTTATTGGTCAGATGTGTCCGGCAGGAGAAAGCGCATGTAAAAGCAGAAGCTGCGTTCCCAGGTGAACAAAGATACGTTTTTGATATAACTAATTTATTTCTGAGTGCTTTTTAAAACTAAATTATAAAGGCAATAATTAAAAACATGTGGCACAAAAAATATGTTTCCATTTATGAACAGCTATACCACATACATAGACCTACTTATGAAAACGCAATGGTGCAAAACCTTTCATGTTTCAATCTACAATGATATAAAATTTTACTTTAGTTGATCATGGAGTATATAACTTTAAAAAGGAAGCACAGTTTAAAAAATCTTTTTGCAGCAATATTTTTAATTGATATTAAGGAATTATTGACTTTAAACAAGCTCCAATATCTTGTAAGTTAGTTTAATTTCATATGTGTTAAGATATTTGCATTAGAAGACGAGGTTTCCTCATTTAAATCTGAAGAAAAACAGGACATTTTTTTTCCTTTGTTTTCTTTATTAAAAATGAAAACAACAAATGTAAATAAAAAAATATGTTTCTAAGCTCAGCATACGTATAGAAAATGGGAAAACGTGGTGCAATTACTGCACAGGTGCTGAGGTTTTAATCCGTTAAAGCAGAAAAAGAACTCAGCACGCTTAAAACCTGATCTGAAATATATATGTATGCTTATATATAAATTTAATAAGGGTGTGTCCTGCAGCGAGGACGTTCATACATTCTAAGGAAAGGTACAGCTGTCGGACAAAGTACTGAACTCTGTCTCGTCCCAAAGGTAAACGAATGGTAGCAGCTCAACTAATCTCTTATTTGAACAAATCTGCCGATTCACAAACGCAGCATGCTTTAAAAAAACAAAAAAAAAAAAAAAAAAACAACTAACAATCATACAGAAGAACATGGCCAGCTCAGGCTCACACCATGACACCATGAAAAATCAGAACAGTGCATCGTTTTCATCCCTGTGCTGGTGTTTGATTCTTTCTTTTTTTTTTGGTTAGTTTTAAAATCCCTGGTCCCGCGCTCAACCTCAAAGACCTACACATACCTCTCTACAAACTAGAATATCACTGAAAAGTTCATTTAGCTCAGTAATTCAGTTCACAAAGTGGTAAATATAAAGCATTTAATTTGATTAACTTTCATGACAAACTGGTAAAAACTGGGGAAGCGCGATATATCGGCATAAACATCAGTATTGGCCAACTTGAGACATTTTATAACACATCTGTCTGTCCGATAAATAAAACCAGGCCGGTATTACAACCAATATTTGCTTTCATCTTGTTGGCATTTATTTCTGTCAAAATGGTTACAGAAATATCTGTAATATCAGTAAATACTGTAAATCAGCAATGTTAGTATCTGATGTAGATATCATCCCAAATGTTTGCCTCTGTGCATCCCTTGTAACGCCCCCAAAACTCAGGTTCGAACTGCACAATCACAGAGACGACTCCTGTCTTGCAAAGTCATTGGCACATAGTTAGGTTGGAAAGTTAGGTGGAAGGAAAGAGTGGTAGAAAAATATGCACAAGCAAGTCTAAAGTCTTTTCAGAGCCCGATGATAAATTCACATGATCAAATCCTCAAAAGAAAATCTATGGAGTCAAAAAGAACTAAATCCTGATGTTAAAGTATTTTCTTTGAAATAGACTCGACTTAAATCAGGTACGAGTTTGGCTTTTTGAACTGAATTACTGAGATGAATGAACATCTTACTGATATTTTCATTTACGTGAAAGGACACCATCCGTCCTTTTTTTTTTATTGCTGGCAAGTTGTGTGTGAGCTACTCTGACCTTTCGCTTGCTTTACAAGGCATGTCAGCTACCTTCAGGTGAGGCTTTTACATCGACTGTGAAACTATGGATAGTATGTGGAGCCATGTATTGTGATCCATCTCAGGATAAAAATAAAATAACACGATTCTGCCTGGAAACTGTAGACACGTCACCCAAAAAAAAAAAAAAAATGCGTCTAGTACTTACTGTAAATGTTGCATTAATAGATAGTTCCCACAAGACCGGACCGGATGCAAGTTACCCCGGAATGCGCCATCTTGGAAGTCGACCGGTGCACAGAATTACCGATGCTTAAATTAGTCTATATGCATCTTTTTCTACTCTTCAGGAGAACGAGTTCAGTGTCTAGCTTTAACACATCTTATGAAAATAGTCAACAAGTCATTTGTGTTTTCAATGATATGATCGGGTTTCTGTACTTGTGAATAAAACTGATCCGTCTCTTTCTTTAGCGACCAATGTGAATGTAAGCGTGAAAAAACGGCAAAAATTATTTTAATAAGATGAAAACCTGATTATTAACAACAATGTACAGCCTTCTGCTTCTTTCTCTACTATCAGCTATTTGTGATGCATAATAAACAACTGGAATGTAAAAATAAATTAGATGTAATTTGGATTTTTTCAAGAGTAGAGAAACTGTATTTGGACGTCCTCACTTTATAGTTACGTTTCATACTTTGTTCAAATAAATCAGTCATGAAACTGCAGGTTTTCTGTCAAAAGGACGTTTTTACAACAATCAGTTCAATATGCCGTTATAACTGACTGGACATTTGAAAATATTATTACCACTAACAAAGCGATCAGAGCAAAATACGTGTTGTATTGTATGAACTGTGTTTCCTCTGGACATTAACCAGCCACTGGTTCAGTTTCCCATTTGAAAAACCTTAAGTTTTACTTTTGGGAAGTGAAGCTTAAATTTATGTTCACAAGAGTTTTTGCAAACCATGTTTATGAGCGACGCCATGTTAAAATACAGACTTCTGAACCTTTTTCCAGGTAACTGGAACGCAACATGAGTAGCAAAGTTTGCTCACCTTTACAGGATGTAATGAAAACCTCTTTACTGTTTCATCGCATTTGTAAAACAGTAAATGTAACAATATCCAAACATCACTTATGCATAATTAATAAAGTGTTCACGCTGCCTCTGAACTATCAAGATGGCGGCAGAGCACCAGGAAATGTGACGTCATGTGGGAACTATCTATATTTTCCACTGAATGTATTCACAAATGTACAAATATTAGGGCCGTGCTAAGAAAAATAAAATCACAAGAGTAAAGATCATGTTACGACAATAAAGTCGTCATATTTTGAGAACATCATAATATTGCAAAAATAAAGTTGTAATATTAAAAGAATAAAGTCATATTGTTACGACTTTATTCTCGTAATTTTTAAACAATTTTCCAAGAGCGGCCCTAATACCCCGTCGTACAAAAAGCATAACTAGTGTCCACACTTCATTCATAAACTCTTTGTGTGAACAAACCTTCTCCCTTAGTGACATGTTTTCAGTCCAGCTTGATCAAAATCATGATCAGTCTGTTACTAAACATGTTTAGGATAAAAATGGAAAAACATTCAAAGGTGTCATTTTGGTAAATAAGAAAGAAGAAGCGTGTAAATCAGGCAGAGGTGCTCAAGTCAAACCCCTTCGCCTTAGCAGACTGACGTCTGTTTTATGTTGCGTCTGCGTTTGGGTCGGCGCACGCACACACTCACAGACCCACACACACTCACACACACACACACACACACACACACACACACACACACACACACACACACACACACACACACACACACACACACACACACACACACACACACACACACGTACGTTTATATTGGATGTGGCACCTGAAAAAGCGAGGCCCTGAGCGTCAGAGATGGCGTACACACAAAGAAGGTTTTGGGTAAAGAGAGGCAGCCGACCGTTTACAATATGATCACAGGTGAACCACGTCGACACAGGCTGACCGGCCAGCCGAGTCCAAATCATGGAACAAAAGAAAAAAGGTGACAGGAAGGAGGAAGGTCAGACATCAGTGGAAATAGACGCGATAGCAGACATAAGCGCCGAGGGCCAGCGCCGTGCCCAGGCACACGTGGGCCGTCAGAGGGGACCAGGCCCCCGGCACCGGACAGGCTCCCTTCTTCTCCCGCTCTGCTCCCTCCGTCCCGTCCTCCGCCGTCGCCCCCTGCTGGGATTTCCTCGGAGCGCCGGGGTTCAGGTCTTCGATTCCCACAGGCCCGTCCTGTCTGTCCGGAGGCGGCTCTGGGGCGCCTGGGTTTCTGTTCCTAAGCTCTGTGTCTGCTGTAGACCTGAAAGGCCAAATCAGAGGCACAGCAGAGCAAAGCTTTAATTTTCCTTTTAGCTGATTATTATGGTAACTGTCCACTTCAGTTGTCTTAAAAATCTAATATCACTTAAAAGATATTTGACTTGGTAATTTAATTTAACCTTCTGTCTCTTTAAAAACTCCTGTTCTTTCTGAAACTTCGCCTTCAGCACGCCATCACAACAATGCTCCTCCATGATGCCGTTTATAGCCGTTCTTAGACTGCAGACTCGCAGTTCCAGCAGGTGTTGGCTTGTTGCTGCTGCCACTAGTCTGGAGGAGCTGACTGTCTGAATGGTTGCCATGGAGACTAAAGGGTTTCTCAAACATACACTAAAGAATCAAAGCAAAACTCCATGTATGTTTTAGATGAGGGAGCAGCATCATGACATGATCCTTCAGCAGTCATTTTCCCACTTGTGGTGAATCTCACGAAACGGCTTCAAGGAGAAACGTGACGAAGGCGAAGTGCCAGAAAGAGCAGGAGCTTCTTAAAGAGACAGAGTCCCAACTTCAAGGCGTCAAATTTGATGACATAAGACAGCTGAAGGTGACGCAGTTCCCTTTTTTTGCTATAAAATAAAACTATTTACCAAAAAAAAACAAAAAAACACCGGCTCTTTAAATAGTTTGGAAACGACATTATAAGGTTTCGTATATTAGGAAAACATGCAATAGTATTAGAAAAAGTCCCGACTAAATCTGCAAATAATTACAACATGTTACTTCCTTGCATAGAGGCTTAGTCAATGATTTAGTAAAAAAAAAAAAAAAAAACGGAGCTTCAGCCTAAATAATTATCCAACATTTATTGGAGTCCAGGCTTTTCTTCATGATATGCAAAATATTGAGATCACAATAAATGTGTCTCGTATAAATCATAAACATAGATATGTAGATATAGAAGTGATATTAATGATGCAGCATCGTTTCCTCTGAAGCTCTACAGGAGGAGCAAACGATGGTGTTTGATTTGTTTTCCACACTGCTTCTCCATTTTGGTTTCATTTCTGTCTGATGGATAATGATGATGTAAAATCTGATGTGTGTTTCTGAACACTTGATTTAAATCAACTTTCCTAAGATGTGAGGAAAACAGCAGTAGAGAAAGTCCTGACTAAATCTACATATAATGTTACTTCCTTACATAGATGGAAAGTAACGTGTTGTAAATAAAACCTGATAAAGATGAGAGCGTTTTATTATCATGACCTGACATGTAAAACCCGATTTCATGATTTTTTTTAATGTAAGTTACAAAATGACTCTAATGGGGAACAATAACAACACATTACAGGTTATTAGCTTAGTTTATTTCAAACATAGTCAGAATATCATAATATAAAATTTCTATAACTGTTTGAAAATGAAGTATAAACTTTTTTCTTATGTCTTACTTTTTTACACATTGCTCTATAGCATATATACAAACTTTTTATACATAAATGTGATTTGTTTCAACAAAAAGTTAATTTAATTCTGTTTTAAAAATTTTACCTTAAACTTTTAGCTTCTCAGACACAAAAGACTAATTTAAAATGTCAGCAGAAAGTCACTAAGTATCACTGCAAACAAACAAAGCTGGCTTAAAACAAAGTGTATTGAAGGAAAGTTAAGTGGAAGGAAAAACATTTGCATCAAGTGGACTTTAAGGAACATTTTTGTCAAAAACCCACAAAGACGACAATTCATAAGAGTAAGTGTCGTGATTCGGCGATGTCAAAATCACATTTAAAATCTTCGCCACTAGTTTCCTCATAGTATTCTTATCAAAACAACAACGATAAACCATCTCAGGGGCAGCCGATCGTTGTCCTTACTGCTGCTACTCGGTGTCAAAAATGACTGCATGCGTCTGGTTTACGTTTGCTGCCAATGGCGAACCAAATTTATTCTAAATATTCTAATTTTGTGGTTTTCAAAGTGAGGGTGGTGGCCCCTTGAAGGGCCACCACAATGTCTCAGAGGGGCGTAAATAAAAAATACAAAATTGACTGAATTGAAATTTTTGTAATCAAAATCTAGCCTATTGTTCCAATTAATATTATAAAATACATGCAAACTAATTTGTTGAAGTATTACTTCCAGATTCCTCTTTAAGCTAGCGTAGCGGCTGTAAAATGGACAGAAAAAAGACTGAAGTATGTAGTAATTATTGAATAATAAATAATAAATCTATTAATCGCATGATAAATTAAAACAAGCGCAATAATTTCCATTTGTATGATTTATTGTTTTTCTCGTTTCTACCAAAAAAACTCTTCTATCTGGTGTTTTGGGCTCAATGAGCTTCCTTTTCTGGACGACAATTTTGTTTACAGAGGCATCATAATTCATTTTATTTTTATTTTGCTTATTTATTTTGGATATTTATAATATCTTCCAGTTCCAGTGTTAAATATTCATTAAAATTTAAAGTTTATTTACCTTTGAGAATGTGTTTTTGCATGATACCATGTCTTTACAATGGCCTCAAAACAACATTATAATTTATCACAATAACTTATGAGGCAATTTGTTACCATGGAAGGCCTATTGAACAGTGAATATAAGGTTTGTGAACTCCTGCACTAATTTCCAGAATTAAAGTAGATCTGAACCAACAGGCAGAGCGAGATTCTCAGATTATTCAGAGCTGCAATCTTTTTTTAATCTCATCTATCCTACATCTGGCCGCCTCGGTTCCTGTGAATCAGTCTGACTTGAGAAACGGGTAGACCAGAAAAAAAAAAAAAGAAATAAAGAAAAACTGGTGTGATAGATGAAAAACGGTTCTGAGGTAAGGAAAGAAGATTAAGAGGCAGATTACCTGAATTAAACTGACTCATTTTCATTTCAATGACAAACATAAGCATGGGGAAGTGCAGACATGAAAGTTATCCAGCAGCTATTTACCGCCCGGCATTAGCCACAAAAGGTCATTTCCAAAGAACCCTGCTGTTCACAAACTGCAGTGTCCAAGCATTTCCATGGAAAGTGAAGTGGAATGAAAAATGCTTCAACCATGTAAGTGCCTAAACAAAACATGAAAAGTGTCCCATCTTTCATGTTTTACAGACAACTGCACAAGCTAGAAAAGATATATTCCAAATAAATTTTCTGCAGCCAAGAATTTCCATAGAAAGTTCAGTGGAAGGAAAAAATTTATTGAAAAAAAGTAGGATGGCGTAGTAATTTTAACTACAGCCACATCTAAAACTAAACTACAATATCATTAAAAAGGTGATTAATTTCAGTAATTTCACCCAAAACTGTATTAGATTCATAACTCACATATTGACAGTTCCCTTTTTTTTCTAATTAGATTTAAAAATAACTATTTAAAGGTTTCCTAAGTTATTTAGATGTATGTGTAGATTTTTAGGCCAGTATTTTGAATGTTTACCTCAGTTGGGAAGTTTCCTCACGCTGGATGAAGTCTACGTCATCTGGGAAAAAACATGGCTGCACTCGGCCGTTGTGAGGGTCTCTGGGAGGAGGGAGAGGAGGCGGCGGGGTGAACTCCGGAGGATCATCTTCCTCATTCGACAGCTCTTTCCATGACTCCTTAGGAACAAAACAGAAAAGTTCACGTTTTTTTTTATTAATTTAAGAAAACATCTTTAAAAAATCAAAAGAGAAGAAAAACCTGCCTGGAGAGAAGTGTCTCCTTTGATGTACTTGGCACCTTCAATCACGGCGAGGTAGGAGAAGCGAAGCTGGTCTGGCGTTTGTATCAAACCCATTCGATAACGACGCATCTCCAGCAGCACTTCACGAATCCGCACCGAAGACGGGTCTTTACGGAGAGACATCTGTAAAAATAACAAAAACGCCTTTTAAGGTCTGTAAAAATAAAATTTAAAAGCCACTTTTGTACAAGAAACAGCGAACACAGTTTTTAGTCTAACTGAAATAACAGCTAAATACCATTTTACAGCTGTAAAAATAACAGCAAAACATTGTTCTTACATCTGTAAATAACAGAAGTATGCAGTTTTTACATCAGTAAAATTAACAGTAAAATGTTTTTACATTGCTGTTTGTAAGAAAACAGCAACCATCTTACATTAGTAAAAATTATGGCAAAATGCCATTTTTACATCTGTAAAAACAACAGGTAAAACAGTTTCTAGACTAAAACTTTGTCTTGTTCCACTGAAAACATAAAATTACGACTCCGCTGATGAGCGTATACAAACCAAAAGGAGGCAGGTGTCCACGAGACAGAAGGTCCCGGAGCGTCCGATCCCAGCGCTGCAGTGCACCACCACCGGCCCGTGCTCCGCATTCAGGCAGCCCGACTCGCGCACCTTGAAGAGGAAGTTGAGGAAGGAGGCTGGAGACTCTGGGACCCCAAAGTCAGGCCAGGTCGTGTAGTGAAAATGTAAAATTTCACGCATCTCCTGAGTCTGCAGGGGCAGATTAGAGTGAAAACGTTCAGAAGAAATCCAGTGAATGCATGAAGGACTTTTTCTCTTTTTTTTTTTGCTATGCAAATTATTTCTCAGAACTGAAAATAACAAAGAAAATTGCAGTTTCAGCAAGTGAAACTGAGAAAACATGGATAAGAGAAGCGAAAAGAAGAAAATTTGTTTCATATGATGTTTCAGTTCTTCAGTGATCAGTTCACATACGACTTTACAGGAACGAACAGGTTTAACCAACTCACATTTAACACTTTTTTAAGACTATTATGAGTTAAATTTAAGGATCAGTGTTGGCAGCAGCGCCTCCCGTTTTCTGGGAAGCTTCAGCCGGGCCAGCAGATCAAAAGTGACATTTCTGCAGTTTATTTGAGGCTCTTAGCAGCAGCTTCCTGCTTAACCCCCAAAGAGCCGAGCTTTTTTTGAACAAAATCCACGTAGCATCAGACAGGTTAGCAACAGTTAGCATCTATTTAGCAATAGCCTCAACGATGATGAACTATTAGAGACATAGTGAGAAAAGAAATACAAATAAAATAATGAGAATAAAGTCAAAATAATAAAAAAAATAGTAATTTTGTTCTAGTATCAATGTTCTATAGCATTATTCTTGTAATTGTATTTATTTTTTATTTTCTGAGTCTGTGGCGACTCAAATGTTTGCCTGACATAAAAGACCAGTGAGGAAGAAAACTACACAGAATGCAGAATATTAAATAGTCTTGCCATGACAAAATTACATTTTTCTAAATTAATTTTCAATGTTTTATTTTAGAAACAGGAGTTTAAGACTTTCTAATAATGCACAGACACCCTCAGCAACAGCAAAAGCATCATTAGCATCATTAGCAGCTGGCATGCAGCTTCTGGACTCATTCTGATAATCGTGAGGAACAACTCACAGACAGATTTTCCAGCTCCAGCTGTCGGACTGTGTAGTACGATTTGATGTCCTCTGAGACGAGAGTGACCTTGAAGTTGGTGTCTTCAAAGATGACATCTTTCTCCTCTCTCTGAGGCCAATATTGGGCACATTTGATCTGAACCCAGAAGAGAGTGCAGGTCATACACAAGAAACCAGAAGAAAAGGAAATGCAGAGAGACGGAGAGCTGATGCTTACGGAGCCTTTCTCTATGACCCGGTTCAGCATCACGACTCCGCGGGTCCTCTGCTCCCAAACCATCTCCCAGAAATGACCACATGTACTTGGAAGGGGTCCCTAAGAAGAAACGACAGAGAAAACAACCATTTAACGACGTAAAATGACAACTATGAAGGTCTTGTCTTCTTGTCTGATCATAAATCCTTTTGGGTTTAGTGTTTTTACAAAAAGCCTTTATTTGTGGCGCTACGGATGCTATGCAGTGAGAGTGAGAGCTGAGCAGCAACAAAAATAAATAAAAGTGGAGAGACACCTGTAGAACTTAACTCCAAACTATTAGTAGAAAATCCACCTTTTTAAAGTATTGATAAATATTAAATATTCACTGTATTAACCAAGAAACTTTGGGAAAGCGTATATTAACAAACCCAACTTTACGCCTGTATTTCAGAATCACATTTTCAACATGGCATATTTCACATTATTGACATTCACTGTTATATGAATTACCTGTGATACTTTTAAAAAAGTTGAGTTGTTACATGATTTCCTGTAAAATTTTAGTTACTATGGCCCCATGAGAGGAAGGAAATGCCCACCACCTATTCAGCTAAATCTGAAGATGGCTCTGATCCAATCCAGGATACAAATCAGGTCCAGATTAACCTAATGTCTAAATAATCTGAGTCTCAGATTAACCTCAACTCCTGATAGGTGTGGTTGGTGACTCTCGGTTAATTGTAAAGTCGGAGCTTTCACTTTTTATGACTTCCAGAGAAAAAAGAAATGTCTGCAGCTTCCTGTCCATCTGTGTAATGTGTCTCTGCATTCAGATATCCGCACACAGCTCCGAGTTTGGCGCTGCAGCTCAGGCAGTCATTAAATTTTACAACTTTAACAGCAAACCGACAACTCTATGACGCAGAAAAACACATTTCTTCCACACCCAACAAACTGGAACTGAAACAAATTACGAACCAAATCATCAACAAGCCAAATCAAAACATGCAGCACATGCAGCATGTTAATGTTAGCCTAGCTCAGGGATCTGTAAAAAGCATTTTGTGAAATAAAAAAAGCTTGTTCAGAGCCACAAATGTCACAACTTTTTGGAAAAAACCAAAAGCATCTTGTGAATTTAGAAAAGAAAAAAATATTTGTAAGTTTCAAAATAAAGACAAATAAAAGTTTGAAAAAGTAGATGGGTATGTTTTTTTTTCTCTGAGGGCTGGATAATGGAAATTAAGCGTCCTCTCTGAGAAACATGGTGGTGGCAGCATCATGGTAGAAATACACCCGGAAAGTTGTCCAGCTCTAACCGAAGCACAATGTGCTCAGAGTACCTGAACAAAAATGCAAGCCACACTTTTTAGATTGTCATTTTTAAATCATTTTTACCACCATGTTTCCTTCCTCTTCCATAGTCATTTGTATTTTTATTTTTTTCTCACATTAAATCAAAACAAAATACTTTTTAATCATGATGTCTGCATGTTGCAGCAGCTCTGATTTGTTAGTTCTCATTTGCACACAACTTTTTGCCGTTGAATGTTTGGGCAATCATTACCTCTGGTTCTGGAAGCTGTGATCTTACTTTTTACCATCAGATACTTTTCATGATTCTAGTATAACTTAGTAATTGAGGGCACATAAGTCTACTTCCACAAAGTATAGAATAGATTAGAATATTCTCTACATTCTTTGAACATAAAACTGGAAAAGTTACAGTCTGTATTTTAAATGAAGTAAAATTTATTCTTATATAGAAGCACAACTAATATCGCCTGAAAGAGCTTTGCGTGGCAAACAGATCTACATACACTCAGAGCAGCAATTAAGCCAAAACTCTACAAAAATCTACATATTTTTGCCTTTAAGATTAAAAACAAAAGTTTGTAAATATGTTTTACCCAGAACTCCTAAAGTGGCTAAATTTAAACTTCACCTGGTTCAAATTCTGTTAAAAAACACAAAATCTCCTATTAAGCACCATTTCCAATCCAATTATTAATCAGTTAATGCAAAAATTAACCAACTAATTTACTAAATAATCAGGTGTGCATTAAAGAGATGCTGTTATTGCATTTCAATGTCAGTGTCAAATTTATTTATATAGCACTTTTAAAAAGGTTTCAAACTGCATCAAAGTGCTGTACAAACATTATAATCGAATAAATTGATGAAAAGATAAAGAAATAACATATATATAATATAAAATAATAAGTAAATAAAGTAAAAAATAAAACATCACAGCAGGAAAGTTACGGTATCAGGCCTCAATTAAATGCCAAAGAATAAAAATTTGTTTTAAGAAGTGATTCAGGCAATAAAGTGTGAAATAAAATTAAATTGTTTTGTATATTTTTAATGCTTTTCTAACTTTGCATAAAAACACTCAAGTGGTTAAATGAAAAATCTGCACAGTGTAAATTTTTTTTGATCCGATTAAATTCATTGTCCGAATACTCTTTAGTTGCAGTCAATATGTTGCACAATCCAATGTATTCTTACATTTTACTGAAAGGTTTGTTTGCAGCTTTTAAATTACTGTCACGTTGTCCAACATTACAGATAAGTTTTATTATAACACAAGAAATATTCTAATAAAGGCTGTGTCTCCCTGGATGCTCACCTGAGTGAGAATATATTTCCTCTGCGCTTCTTCTGCAGTTATTAGACTGGCGTTTATGTAGTTGTTTGAACCCAGCTGCAGGCAGATTCTGCTGTGGTCAACTGCAGGACGGAGAGAGAAACAAACAAAAGCAACAAGAAACTTCATCTGATTTTTGTTTTTCAATTTTAAATCGATACAAGCCTCTCCTGGCTGTGAGAAAAGAGCGTCTCTGGACGGACTAAAAACAGACACTGTGTGAATCTCACCCTGAGAGGCCCAAGGGTCTTTTTGAAATAAAAACGTAAACAGAACTACTTAGTTTCCGGTTCCTCATTTTCACATCTCGTTAAATGTGAATATGAAAAACCGTAACTATTTGCAACACCGACTGTACAATTTTGCATGGCTCATTCAATGTGAAGTAAAGAGGAAACCACCAAAGTTCAAATGTTAAACTTTAAGCTTAGTTTACTAGATAATAATGTTGAACAATAACATATGCTCTGTACGATTAGGTGGAAACATAACAGTCGTTAAATGGAGAAAAGATAACGAAGCAATAAAGTATCAGAAGTGGATTTTCCTGTTTTCTATTAAATAATATGTGAATTTTATTTCATTTCAACCAAGTTTTTAAAAACAAAACAAAAAAAACAAGCAATCAGAATAACAAGAGAAAACATCAATACATAACCAAGAAAAAAATAATTATTTCTGTTTGAAAGAGTAAATAAATGTTTACTCTTTTCTAATGAAAGATGTTACTTACCAGATCAATAATGATCAGAAATTTGTAATTAAAACCATAAAAAACCAACAAATAAATCACAAACTGACTCTCATAAGACAAGAGAATCTACTAACCCATAATAATATTACAAATTCAAAATAATGACCAACTCCTTGTTAATTTAACACATTAAAAAACATAAACTTAGGTAAATTTTGTGTAAAATTATTTTTAAACAGAATCAGGACTTTAAATAATTATTACTCTGCCAGAAGAGAAATGGTAACAAGCAGCTGTAACGATGTTATTGGTCAAATGAAAACACGATACGTCTCAGTTAGCATGGAGATTGAAGTTAGTTTTTTTTCTAAATCTGAGCAGGTGAAGAAAGGCAGAGAGTAACTCACAGGGGCTGACGTCCCGGTAACGGTTTCGAGTCTTGTTTTCAGGAAATTTGGCAACCTTGCATGGTAATTCACAGGACTGCTGGCGAATGTCCTATGGGAAAACAAACCAAAAAGATGCTTTTACAAACTGCATTATATAATTTTTATACATCTTAGTGCAACTGCAATGTTTGAAAAATGTACATTTATGCATGTGTGCAAAGAAAGTCCTGTGCAGGCGGGAGAATGTTCTTCCTTCCTAAATTTTGTCCTACTTGCCACGTTTTTTCATGTTGAAGAAGTTTGTGTAAAACATAAAAACGTGTAGATCATAAGTTTACTAAACACTCATCAGGGGTATGAAAATATAAAATGTAGTCATTCTGAGATTATTTTTGATCATTCTTTAACAGCCATTTAAAGTTCTGACAAAGCCAGTTTATAAAATGAATTTAAATAGATTTAAATTCCTGATGTAACCCAAAACAAAAACCTCTAGTTATATAAATCTTTTACAAAGCATACATTTCCTCAATATCACAGATTGGTCTAGTTCAAGGCCTGCTAATTATCATAATTGATTGCAGCTTGTAGCTTCTCAATACACCATAAACTGAAGACCCTGGGGATCTAAAATATTAAAGGTGAGGTCATTTTATTGATATAGCACATTTTCAGTAACAAGGCAATACAATGAATAGTCGTTTCTGAACTCCAAGATTGAAACAACTGAACACAAGGTATTCAGATGTGACACCAATGATCCAACAGAACCTCAACCACGTCAGAAATGTGTCAACTCTGCATAACTATCCGGAAAATAATACGATTTTTGTTTGTTTTTAAGCTACTTAAATTGTAACAAATATAACTATCTTACAAAACTGTTACAATAACTGAAAACCCCAAATTAACATAACATCCACGTCATTAGCTTTAAGGTTTCTGTGGACAGAATAAGATTATCAAATGAGATTAAAGACTACAGATTAAAGCTCTGTGATGGGACCTACTTCAACATACATACAGCAATAATAAGACATGACAATAATGATAAGATGGTTCCTAAAACATTAAATCTTCGCCCTCGCCTCAATGTTTCCCCACCAAGATCAGCTCAGTTCAAACCTCATAAACGGAGTTCCAGGTCCCATTTTCGTCGATTTCCCAAAACTCGGCTTCCATCGCTGCCGCCCGTTCTTGTTCCCGAACCGAAAGGTAAAACCGCGGCTTCCAGGTAATAAAGCCGTAGTAAACTGTAGTTAAGCAATTTCCTGCGTTAGCTCCTAACTATCCGGTAGCTAGCAGTTGGGCTGCATCGATCGCCGCCTCGGCCTGTTCTTTAGCGGAAACACGCCGCTAGCTCCTCCTACGCAGCGCAGCTGCCGTCCTTGGCTGGCTAAAAAAGAGCAGAGTGGAGTTTTGGAGGAATTAGCGAGCTGTTCTGTGGTATCCGGAGTTGATTTACAAGTTCTCGTCATATTCGGAGTACAACTCCATTAGTAGGAGGATCCGTTTACCATTCTTACAACAATGGCAAAGACTGACGTGTGAGGGCGCGCGGCATCTTGCTTCTGGAAAGAAATGCGTTCGATTTGTGAGGGAGCGCGCACGTCGGTTTACGTTGAGTGAAAAGGTGTCGTTGTCGTGTCCGCCATCTTGGAAGTGGAAAAGGCAGCATGTTTGAATCCCGATTTTGAGAATAAACCTTACGTGTTATATTTATATATATATATATATATATATATATATATATATATATATATATATATTATATATATATATATATATATATATATATATATATATATATATATATAATATTACAGTAGTAATATTGGTAATATATTACAATTATTATATATTGGCAATATTGATAGTTTCAAAATAACAATATTACTATTGGCAGTATTATGTTAATACTACCAATAGTAATGTTATAATACAACCAATTGGAAGTATTATAATACTGCCAATACTCTTATAATTTAAACATATATTATATTTAATATATGGCTCCTGAACATTAAGTATTACAATACTACCAATATTGGTAACATTATTAGCAACAGTGGTAGTATTCTATATTAGTAGTAATACTACCAATACTACTATCAATGGTATGGTAATACGACCAATGAGGTGTATTATTAATACCGTCGCAATTGTTTCACTCACTAACATTAAATCAAATTTTAAAAACGTCAAGACAATGCAATGCAATTTTATTTATAAAGCACTTTAAAACAACACTGTTGGTCAAAGTGCTGTACACTAAAATAATTATCAGAGAAATAAAACAAATAGAACAAAAATAACAGGAAGAGTAAATTTTGGATCTTTTTATAGCAAGCATTCTACTTTTCAAACTTTTTACAGAACATTTCTGAGATTAAGCTGAAAACTTTTGAGTTTCAAAGGTTTTTTTGGTTTCTTTATCTTTGGACTTTGGAAACTCAGAAATTTCCATGGTATTCTTGTTGCTCTGTTTTTTATAAACTTTTGTAGAAAATGTATTCCGCCTATATTTCTTTCCACAATGGACCTACACAACTGATCTTTGAAGCGTACACAACTTTGTTTCACCAAAGTGCCTACCACAATATGGCGGCGACGCTGACGTCCATCCCTGACGCTCATGCGACGTCTATTCTTCAATCTCTATGTCTGTTTACGTCCCATCTGAGGAGTCGTTGCTGCTGCTGTTTCTTCTGGTGGTCGAACTGTGACCTGCTGCGGCTTAGTTCCTATATAAAGACCGTGTCTGAAATAATATGAGTTTAATCTGAAACTGTAGACGTTGTGTGAGACGTGGTGTGAGTTGACAGGGGCCATGACAGATTAGACTAATTTGACAGCATTCAAATTGGGGGGGTGGGGGGGATTTTGGTGCTACTAGCGTTAGCTAGCTAAGCAACTTAGCTTAGGCGCTTTGAATCTGCCTTACTGCCGCGACAGGTATTATGCAAATTCTTGCCAAGTTGTTCTGTGTGTGTCGCTTCTTGTGTTGTCTTCTTGGGCCGTGCAGGCCTCTTCATATCGCTGTGCTTTCCTGAGTTTGTTGTCTGGCGTTGGCGTTAGCCGTCAGCTGTCGTTGACTGCTGCAGACTGTTAGCTCATGTGTAGCTATAGTTATTGCCTCCCAGTGGTGGAAAAAGTGTTCAGGTCTTTAAACGGTAAGTTGTATCTCAACAAACCCGCATGCAAAAAGGAGCGAAAAAAAATATTTATAGTTTTTCACTAGAGGAATTATGAGTAGGAAGTCAATCCTATCCATATTTTTATAGATAAGTTTGATTTTGTAATCTTTTTTAAGGTATTTTGGATGCTAAATAGTCTTATTTTGTATATAATAAGCACAGTTGTTACAATTAACAATTATTGTAACTTGTATAAAAACCATTTCTATGTTGCCTGCAAATGTAATATCAGATATAAGGCTGCGCAATGTATTGCAAATACATTGTCATCATTGCAGTGTAAGTATGTGCAACATTAATATCTCAAAAATAATTGTTTTGAGTGCAATAATTGTCGGCTAATGTATTCAAAGCAGGGATGGAGGGGCTCAAGACTGATCTCAAGCTGATTTTTTTCTTGGTCTTTGTCTTGGAAGAACCGGCCTTTACTCCGTTCCTGTTATAACAAATCTTTGTTATTCTCTGACTGCTTTTGTTTTGTTTTTAATACACCTATTGTGCAATGTTAGCTGATTAATTTATGTTATTGCATGTGTATCAATGTGTGTCTAGATTTTATAACTTAAATATTATTAGTTTAATATCAAGAAGTAGTTTTGGTTATGTAAATTAACTTTAATTTTTGCAGTTTGGGTTTATTAAAAAAAAAAGAAAAAATCCTAAAATATTAGTCTAACTAATCAAAACATTAAATTTCGATCTTTCCTGAGAACCAGCCGTAACTCAATTACTCCATGTTTTCTGTACTTGGAATCAGGCGTTGTAGACAAAGATGAAGAATATATTTTCCTCTTAAAAATCTCAGAAATTTTCTTAAAAAAATAAAAAAGAAAGCTAATTTTTTAGCTCTAAAAGTCAAACATTTCTAAAAAAAAAAAAAAAAAAAGAACTTTGAGATTAACTTCAGAAATGTTCTAGAAAAAAAGTTTAAAATTTTCTAGAAAAAAAACAGGAAATTTTTAGAATAATCTAATTTTAGCGTTTTTCATGCGAATGTAATATTCAGCCAAGTGGACAGAGTGCTTACATCAAACTCGGATCCTAAAGGCACAGATGATAAAGAAAGGGAAGAATAAAATAGACATGTTTGGCAGCTGATATTTAACTATTTTTTTACTCAAGATGATATATGTATATCACAGGTCAAAAGTCTTTAAAGGAAAAGCCGGGTATGTTAAACTAGTTTTGTAGCGTTGGGTTCCGTTTCAATTCGTCTTTTCTGAAACTTCTCCTTTGGTTTTCTTTCAGATTCCTGTGGTAGTGTGAGATCCTTGACGGATTCCGGTGGCAGCATGGCTCCCAAAGACATCATGACGAATTCCCACGCCAAATCCATCCTCAACGCAATGAACTCTCTACGCAAGAGCAACACGCTCTGTGACATCACTCTGAGGGTGGACAGCACCGATTTCCCGGCTCACCGGATCGTCTTGGCTGCCTGCAGCGATTATTTCTGTGCCATGTTCACCAGTGAGGTAAAAATGTTTTTCTGTTGCATCGTTATTCACAACATGCTTTGTGAAGATGTCCGTGTTTGATTGTTTTTGTCTTGCCAATTTGATTTCAACCACAACAAAGAAAGAAAAACATGCAGGTCAGCAGTAAGGCTTCGTTCACAAAAAGGTGACCCAAGTCCAATTTTTTTTTTTTTTTACCCACCAAAAAATCTGATTTGTGTCACTAAATTGCATAAACGGATAGTTAAGTGTTTACAGTCTAAGGGTTTGGTTGCTATGAAGCCAATAAAGATTTTTTTGACGATTATTGAGAGCAGAATAAATAACCTTTGACTTGATTTTTTTCATGTAAATAAAGTTTGATTTGCTTTCAGAACCAAATGACAAACTTTTACTTTTTTGGGGGGTAAAAGTGTAAGATTTATTTACAATAAAGGTTCTGTAGATAGACTTCCTTCATTATTCAACTTATTTTCTGAAATACAGTGCAACTGTCAGTGACACAGCCCCATAGCATGATGCTGCCATCTCCATGTTTTAAAGTTGGAACTGAGTTCATATTTTTCAATACTTCATCTTGACAGTGAAGTGAAATTTAAACATTGTTGTATAGTTTGACCCTCAAATCTCTCACAAAGTATTTTTTTCTTCTTCATGTTGGTGGCTTTGTCAAACTCAAATAAAATAAAACTCAAAAATAAAAACGATAAATTTTCCACAAAAACGATAAAGACTAAAAGAATAAGAGTGAGGTCATTAAACTGTGTTTCCACTCCTCCTCATATATAATAACTACACTCCAAAACCTCGTTAACGAACTAATAAATAAATATGCAAATTTGCTAGAGGGCCTCAGTATAGTCTCTGATATTTAAAATCCTTATGCATGAGAGTTTTTAAACTGTAAATTCTCAAACTGTACACATTTTATTCACTTTTAAATCATAATTTTAATCCCAACACATTTAAATCATGACAAGAAATATGAGTTTGTGCAGAATAGGTTTCTACACAAGCTAACATAAAGCTTTTGGACAATCATCAACTCGACGAAACTGAACATTTGAAGATTATTCTCAAAAGACAAATGTAAATTGGCAGAAGCAATAAAATGCATCCAAGTTGCATTTAGCCAAATGTTAATGGGGTTGTATTTATATTACTGAGCTTTTTGGTAATAAGTTAAGCTAACCTCCTAATGTTATATCTCATTGTAAATCTGCAGCTTGCAGAAAAGGGGAAATCTTTTGTCGACATCCAGGGACTCACGGCATCAACTATGGAGATCCTGTTGGACTTTGTGTACACAGAGACGGTGCTTGTCACAGTGGAAAATGTCCAAGAGCTGCTCCCTGCAGCATGTCTGCTTCAGCTTAAAGGTACCTTTGATTGTTCCTCTTTAATTTAAAAGTGTATTTGATCCAAATTGTCTTCCTAGTATCAGCACCTCTGTTCTGATGCTCTGTTCCTATTTCCCACGGCGATTGAAAAGGTTTAGAGTTTCTTCAGGTGTAAATAATAGGACTTCAGTGGCAGTGAAACTATAATTAAATTTCTGACTGTGATTGAACTTGGCATCATTTTTAAAAAATAAAATGATCTCTGCATTTCCACACTCGAGATTTGTCATTTGATCATTTATCGATAGGTTTATCTGTCGATTAATCTATCAATACTATTAATCAGATTTTTTATTGATTAAGTTATCAATAGATTAATCGATATATTGCAGCATTAATCAGTAGATTAATCTATCCGATTATTCTACAGATTTTTTGAAAATAAAATATTAGAAATACATTAAAACACTGAAATAAACAAACCAATACCTTTTTTATAGCAGTGCAATAATTCTTTAGTAAAGCTAAAATGATACGACTTGAGGAGTTTTGGCTAAAACATTTTTATAAATAAAGGTGTTTTTATCTTAATTGCAAAATGTATTTATTTTTATACAG